AATAATGCATAATTTCATTTGATAAACACGTTTAGATTGAATGGTAATTTATAATCAGTCACAAGAACGTCGAATCTGAATCACTTGAAAAAAACACGGGGCGCTTAACTTTTTTCCAGGTGTATATTACTTTTAGATGTCATTTAGCACTTCCTATTGTGTTATTGCTCCATTTATAATTTATTACGTCTACCACACAACGTGTGCAGTGGTTAATGTATTAGAAACTCAAATTGGAGATATTGGACAAGTTATAATAAGAACCTCCTACCTCTCTGATTTGCTGAGATTTTGCTAAAACTGTTGAAGTGTGATGACTAAGTTGTTGCTCTGAAGTTAAATGGGATTATTTTATAACTCATATGTAGCTCGTTTAGAAACCCAAATAAATTACAGAGATCTTGTGTACACTAATATAGTAAGTTGATAACTTTGTTATTTTCTAATATGTATATTTGAAGTGTAAAAAAAAAAATGAATAGTGCCCTCCACTTGGAAGAATAAATGAGGCTTATGGCAAGGCTTATCACATGCAATGCTTGGGCACGAAGTCTTTTAATCATTGTAAGCACTCAAAATCTTTGTTTTTAAAGAATTTTTTACTTATTTTTCTATGTTTTAAGAAAAATAACTAAAATTTAAGCATTTGTGAATAAATAATAACTATGCAGGTTTAAGAAGTCTTGATAGAAGTGAATAAAAACCCCATAACATGAGCGCTTTCGAAAGGTAAACCTTTCTTCTTCAAGGGCAAACTGTTTACCCCTGAAGAAGAATGGTCCACCTTATGAAAGTGCTCGGGTTATGGGTTTTTTATCCATATGTAATGTATGGTAGCTAAAATTTCACTGTATTATAGTTAAAGATTTGTACTATGTAGGCGTACATATTTATGTTTACTGAATTTGTATTCTTCTTCTAATTGTCTAAATTGAGGTAAAATAAAAGCAAATTATGCAACATTAGAAGCTTGACAACTTAAAAAGAAAGGTTTATTCATAACATTTTAGAAGATACAATACTTTACAAATGTCTGTACCTCTATACAGTATACCACTAAATTACTAACATTTCTTACTAACAGAAGGATTACCAATATTCAAAGAATTGAGATGTTTATTGTATCAGCACTGAACCATATTATCAACATTTTGACAGATTCAAAGTGCAGTCTTATTACTCTGGAGACTTCTTGTTGTAAAAACTTTAGAATACACACATAAACCAATAAATTCCACATTCTGTTGATGACATAAACATTTTTACTGATTCTAAGTGCAGTGTTATTACTCTGGTGAATTTTCCTTGGAAACACTGTAAGATATATAATCTGATACATTAAACATCTCGTACTCGGAGCAGGGGTCAAGTCAGTTATCTTTTCGCATGTGTTTTTTTGCTTTTGAGGGTATCCTATTACAGTGTCATGTAAACAGCCTAATGACACAAGTGGTGATTGTTACATTATTTTCAGTGAATTTCTGCTTCAGTTGTTGACAGTATAATAAGCACAGAAACTAAATGTGAAATGTTTAGAAGTTGAAACTCTCAAGAGAGGTACTTTGAAATTTTGTGAACAATAATCAAGGAAAAATGGGTACAGCTGCTCATTTTATTTCTGATTTTACAACTTTTCATTATACACTGATGATTTGTCTACTGACTGAAGAATAAAATATACTGTTAGGGTAGAGGTAACAGCAGATAAAATATAAAGTCTTGCTTTCAGGATGTTGAATATCCAACATGTAAAGTAATTTTGATGTTAAGATGAAGAATACTTTTCTTCTTCTGAAAATGGTCAAATTTCATTTGTGTAATATCCATAACCTCTTAAACAACTACCAAACTGTTTTTTTAGAAAAACTTTATATTTTTTCTGTTATTTTCTCTATTTTAACTCTGTACAGGGTTGGTCAATTTGGCTGACTTTGTTATCACCATAAAAAATACAGAAATCTAAATTATCCTTTTTCCATTTTAGAATGACTGCAAATTGTAACATGAAACCACAAATGTTTTTTATAAACAAGTTAAATCTCATAACAGTATACATCTCTTTATGTTTATTAATTTGTTAGCTTTATTGAATTTTGAATTGTATTTGACAAATAATCCTGCCATTCAAGTTGTAAATCATGCGATGCACATGCAGTTTACATTACCATATCGAATAACATAAAACTGGCCTTTACGAAGTACAGATGTTTTACTCTTCTCAGTCTTAGTACTATCATACCAGTATTTTGTAAATTACAATCACATTTCGGTTACCATACATTACGTATGTGTATATGTTATTACTATTTACAGATGAATTCTTAAATTTCATTTATTTTTCTTGAAACATAGAACAGTAAATAAAAAATATATTAGAAAACAATTATCTCTACTACTTACGATGTTACAAATTTTTTTGTACTCTGGCATTATACTTGGTAAGCCTCATTGAATTTTGCATGTGGAGGATGTAACAAAAATTGTAGGTTTTATATATGCATTTTGAAATAACAGAAGATTATAAGTTACTATACTGATAGCACAATATTCAATTGTAATTAATCAGGCTTCATAACTAAGCTGTATTTGGGTCTATTGGTAATTAAGAGAATTGGATGTAGGTAAATAAGTATTTTCAAAAGAGGAAGAGGTGGGCAGAGCCATTTTAGTGGGTTTGCTAAATATAATGTCTCAGCAAGTAGAAAAGGTAGGAGGTTCTTTTTTTATATTGTATCTTGTAAATATTGGCAGTTTGAGTTTCTAATTTGTTAAGAACCATTGACTTAACATTTTATGATGATCCACAATATAATCTGAGCAAATTCAGAAGAGAATGTACCATGTGATACACAAAAAATAGATATTTAGCTTTTTTTTTTTGATATTTACTTTTGAACTAAGAAATGGGAACTCAATTTATAGATATACATTCTTGAAATAGTAGTTTAATAAAATTTTGAAAGTAAGTGTAAAAAATGTGACGACATGTTTTGACCCCATCCTTCCTTTATATTTTATGCTGGTTACTTAAGTCTGTAACAAAAGTACTTTCATCTTTAAAAAAATGAATCTTTTAGATAACATGAGTGTGAGGATGTATATATTGGAAGCAAAAACTAATGTTAAAACAAACCTGTAAAAGAAGGTATTTTCTAATAATGCCTGTTAGTATCGACAGGCTACCAGTATGAAAAGAAATTTCATTTATTGGGACATGTTTTCCACCCCTTTTTTGTCACTTAGTTTGACACTGGGAAAATAATAGTTGAAAGTTACTGATGATTCAGTGTTTTTGTAATTAGTTTTGAAAAAACAACAACATAAAGCTTGCAATTTTAAGTGGTGAGGAACGATTATGAATTTGATAGAGTTTGGTGATTGCAAGTCTGTCTGATATCTAAATTGAATCAACAGAATTCACTAGCAACATTTCTAAACTTCTAAGCTTTTAGTGTATGTTTTTCCTGCATGGAAAATAACTAGAAATTGATTGTGAAGCACACGAAACTATTGTAGCTGAATTAAATTTTAGGTTATTTGAAAGACAAATTGTGAAGTACAAGTTGGTCAATTTAAGGCCAGCTTCTAGAAATGGGAACTCAGTTACTTAGAACCTGCATTTGTTTTATTTACAATTATGTGGAAATGCAGCTAAATTTGACAAATAATTTTCAACATATAGTATATAAAAAATATTGATTGGGATTTCAGAGTAGTTTGTGTACTGAAGTAGCCTTTTAATACAAATGCCTTAATACTTGTTTACATAAATGTAAAATAAGTGGAATCTGTTTTAGTTATGAAAATAATTATATTAGCCACTTACATTTGAGATGGTTCCATTCTTTCTCAAGAAATTAACTATTAATGACCTTAATCACTAGATCGTTATCTGTTAAAGATGGAAGTTGAAATGTTGGGTATTAGTTTTGCTTTTTCAGGAATTTTGATAAAAGTTTTAGTTGTACTTCTTGTAGCTTCAGTTTACTGTGGTTTCCTTTTCCATGTTTTCCTACTATAATTTTATGGTTTTCTAAATGTTCTAGTCCTCATCTGACTTGGCGAGATATGCAGCACTTGGTGATCCTAACCTCAAGACCTGAACCACTTTCAGATGAACCTGGCTGGTCAACTAATGGTGTGGGAAGAAAATGTAAGCTATACTGTATTAGAGTTATGTATTCATTTCTTTGTTATATGTCCTGTTTTTTGTATGTTTTTCATTAAAACACCTGTTATATGAAATGAAAACAAAACACATCATTAAATGTTGCAAGATACCTTGAAAAAGTGGTTTAATTTTTTGATTATTTGTGATTGCACCTTTAATAAAAGAGGCAGGTCAATTATTAGAGTGACAACCAAATCCCACTGTTCAGTAGCCCACAAGTTGGTGGTAGGTGGTATTGACTAGCTGCCATCTCTTTAGATAGCCCTTGAGTACTTTTGCACAAAATTCATCAAACAAATGAAAACAAGAGGTTACTAAGTAAAAAAATAAGAAAACGAAGATGAATATTCTTGTAAAGGTGTAATTATGTATCAGTTAATAGCAGCCTAAGAATTTTTTTCAGCTGTAATTTTGTAGCAAGAATGTTATTAGATAATGTTTTACTTTTTTTATATTAGATATATGTTATAAGATTCTGTAACATTGGAGTAGTAGAAATATCTCATTTTTGTTCTTCAAAATTTCATATTTCTTAGTGAAGTATTTTTAATAAAATGAAATAAAGATTTG